AGCCAGGGCGGAGCCATCATACGTGGAAGCTGACCCCATACCAAACCCTCCACCATGAATCCAGACCATGACCTGATAAGGTAATGAAAGCCCTTAAAACTTTTCAACAAGCATTGAAGGCACATTCTTACTTAGATTCTCGATAAACCACATTAACAAAGACTTTAATATGACTAGATAATAACACAGATTGTGACATCAATCCCTTTGGGGTATGGTTTTAAAAAAAACCTACATTGTCACTCAGTATGGATTATTCAAAAGGAATCCTTATCCAAACCTGAATAAATTAACTGAGTATCACTCACGACATGGAGCAACTTACTGGAAGCTTGGCATCGGGAGTTCTGTTGGCAGGAGTGTAAATGTTGAGGTAAAGGCAGTCCTCTGAAATGTCTGGCAAATCCACGACCATGGCACCAAGTTTTTCCAACAGATCTATGGTTAACTTTTTATATTGAACACACCTGAAAAAGAAACAAGATTTTCAGTGAGTATTGAATATCATTTTAAAGGAAGGTATGCAACACCTGTAGCATGTGGAGGCCTTACATGGGGGGCTGCTTGGTGGCGTCTCTCACTCCTTCCCATCCCTCCACAGGCTGGGGGGCAGCCAGTCTCAGAGCAGGGCCCACAGGTGGCTTTGCAAATGGGATACCCAGGTAGGCATGGACCCCATTCTCCTGCCCCTTGACACTCAGAGTCTGACCTCTCAGGCTTCCCAGCTTTGTGTGGACTTCAGGTGCTGTGAGGATATTAGGACTGACTCAGAATCTCAATGTAATGTAATGTATCAGTGTAACTTACCAGGAGTAATAGCATGTGTTATAGCTAAGTAGCACATATATTTCCATCATGTAGGCAACATGTGTTCATTGGCTGGTTCTAGATTATGTTGGAACAAATAAATGGTAAAGTTTTAAATAATACAACAACTTTCCAATTGATTTCAGCCATGTCGAGCCCTATGGGTGACGTCACGGACACTACGTCCATTTATATACAGTCTACAGCAGGGGTGTCAAACTCAAGGCCCTGGGAACAAATCCGGCTTGTGACTTCATTTTCTGTGGCCCCACAAGAGCTTGCAAAGAATATAATATGTTTATCAACCGGATAACTCAAAACATATCCAGGATATGTTGAACTAGATTCGTAGTATATATCTACAGTCTTTAATCTTCTTTGCCATGCTGTTTGTATAACTAAATCAAACATATAACTCACTTTGGCAACAATTAGTTGAATATCATCTTATATTGCATTACATGAAGACAGCAAAAAAAAGAAATATTAATTACAGCATGAACTCTGATCCTAATTTGCTCTTTGGCAGAGATGTTTCACCTTTGGACATAGGCACGATCGTCAGTGGCTGAAAGGTCAACTCGATTGAGGCGTAAGAAAATGCAAACAGGTTGCTTCAGTCATAGACCTTTTAAAAGACATTTAAAGAAAATCAACTTCTCCATTAGGCCTACGTGCTATTAGACTAGCTTGCAGCCAGATCTGCATACAAGTGTTGCCACGGACTTTATCGTGCAAAGAAATAAGTAATCTACTTCACTTACCATGTGGATCTGCAGCAACATCGAGGAATAAAACAGACGTCAGAAAGAAGAAAGTTTGTTTTGCACGGGACGTCATGGTCTCGGCTGGTTACACACTGCTTGGTTCTGCAAACAGGAAGGACTTGCAAACTGGAAATGAAACCTCCAAAGAAGCCGTCTCAACTTTGACCAGTTGAATCCTGCACTTATTAACCTATTACGTGCATGACAAGGCGTGACTCTGTCGCTTTTATATCAAAGCAACTGGTCATTTACATCAATAAAAAGACATCGACAAGACTTTCCGGACGGTTATATTTGAGCTAGGCTTATAAACACTTACTGTCTGTATCTAAAACTGTCATTTTAACCTTGCATAAGTATAAGTACAGAAATGTTGTTTCCACTACAGTACAATATCTCACACAAGCCACAGATGGCGCTCTCACATAGCTGAGTCCATAGAATCACGAGAGGCGAAGTCCCTCCCTTTCCGGTGGACCTCCATGGGACCTTATTTCGGAAAAATTATTAATTATGATGTTTAAAAGATAATTTTGCAAGTAAAAAAAATAATGTTTTGCCGTAAAGCTGTGAAGTAAGACTTTTTTTTGTGTGAAACCGCTCAATGAACTACATCTCTGGTCTCGCACAAGCCCCCAGGAAGTGCGCCGGACTCTGTGGAAAATATTAGTTGTGGCCAAACGGCGGTACTACACTTCCGTTAGGTTGCTGGGCCCGGAAACACTTTTTTCCCATTGACTTACATCGAGAAAGAGTGGTCTGTAAATCGTTGGATAATTTTGTTGAAACTAAATAAACTACCCAGTATGAACGTTTGTATAGCCCTTATTAAAAACATTCGGTCCTCAAGTTGTAAAATGTGCTAATAACGTTATTCTGAGAGTTATTTCCCTCGGCATTATGAACGCGCATCTAACCCACAGGACCGCGCCGCCCGGCACGTTCATGTTACGTGTTCAGTATGCGTTTTACCCTTTATATATACAGTCTATGGTTTTACCCATAGACTATATATGTAAAGGTTTTACCTTTACCCATGGATGCACAATAAGAACGGACCCATATCGCCTTACTGCTAGCCCACGGAGCTGTAATAATGGATATATTGCACATGTTTGCTGTAATTCATCATTTGTAAAATATTATACTACATGGGCTGTATGCATGGGCGTAATTTCCACTGGGGACAGGGGGGACATGTCCCCCCCACTTTTCAAAATCCCGTTTGTGTCCCCCCCCACTTTTCAAATGTGTTTATTTTTATTTTTTTAATCAAGCGGTCATCGTCACGGAGGAGCGTTGGATGAGTTTTTACTATTTTCTGACATTCAATATTATCATAATTTTTTACAAAAAAACTAAAAATAATAATTTGTCATATTATTAGTCATCAAGTGCTAAAGTCGAATACAGCATTCCTCAGCATTATCTGCTATTGATTTCTGTACTCACAGTTTGATACATTGAGATTGATGTCCTATGTAGTAGTGATCGATGAATGTTTTTCCATTTCAGCTTCTATGGAACAGGCCTGATCGCTGGGCACGGCTTCACCAGTCCGGAGCGCACCCCGGGGCTCTTCGTGCTTTTCGATGCAGACCGATTTGGTTTCATCTGGTTGGAGTTGAAGTCTTTCAGTCTGTACAGTCGCCTGACGGACAACCTAGCTCATTCTTACGCCCCGAACATGGAGCGATTTGAGGCCATGCTGGGCAACATGCAGTCCTGGACATCCTGATGCACGATGTTTTTAGTCTCGCTCCACAATACAATGCATAATAACAACCAGTTGACACAAATCACCTCTGTCCTCAGCTGACAGAACATCATATCACGATAGCTCATGACCTTAACTCACGTTCTATCTATATGTTTCACAAACATGGGTCTAATCAAGCTAGTTATGTCACCTCATTTATTGTATCAGTTCACCTCAGTATGACCTTTATCCTCCAGTGCACAGGTCAAATATTAACCTTATTAATTTATTCCCTGCAGGAGAAAAATGATAACTCGTACCACTTATAAAGGATCAAACTGTACGTGCCTCTGATTCTAAAACCATGTCTGTACTTGATAGTGCTTGAAGACAATAAAGGTGTCCAATGTATTCTACTATATAGCATTATAGTGATTTCAGTGCCCAACATGTTTAACTGCATGTTGCTTTTTGTTTGGATCTTATCGCATCTCACTCATAACTTTAATCTTAACAAGATGTTTTATTTTCATTGAGCAGCATGCCTTGATTTAAATTTTGTTTTGCTTTAAAAAAAATGACAGCTTCTCAGGTGTTGTTCTCTTGGCCAGAAGTCAGTGAAAAGCAGGACTTGAGTATTTATGTGTATAATTTTTTTTTAATGTAGTTACATTCATTTTAGCATTTTCTCCAATAGAAATACTTTTCTAACAATTGACAAGAGAGCATTTGTCGTCTCATCAAACACTGTAGCTACATCAGGCAGTTTTGCCCTTTGAACTTGAGATAGAGACGTGCTCCTGCTTTTGGTTTGACATCAAACATACCTTTAGTGTCACCTCACTTGACATAGTATTATGTAAGTTGGAAAGATGTATTGTACTGCAATAGAATAACATAACCTATACATAAGCTGATCACAAATGAAACAATTATACAGTTTTGTGCTTATATAAGGATGGTTTAAATCTTCTCTTACCTTTTAAAATGTATTGCATTTGTTGTTTGTTTAAATGGCTGACGTAACGTTTGCCTGGCTTTATACCTGCAAAGCTATTCCTCCAGTTTTCCAATTCGTTTTGAACTTGATTCCAGACTAACTGAACATTATACAAACAGCTCAAAGTGCATCTCAAAGAACCAAGTAAGTGTTTGTGTGTCTCGTTACGGCCTGAAGGTGTTGCCCAGTAGCTTTCTTACCCCAAGTGCACTTTTCTGGGCAGTATTGCGAAACATTTAAAACCACTGGCCAGCACTTTTATATCAGACTGCAGCTTTACTAACATTTGCGAAAAGAAATGGTCTGCTAAAGCATCGTCAACTTACATTTATTTAGTTTTATTAGTTTCCTCTCAATTGTTTTGCTATGTCTGAACACCCTCTGTACTCTGCTATTTGAATGATTTGCCTTTGGAAAATGTGTTGCTTTGTACTATTTTCAATGCGATACACCTGATTTTGTCAAAAATGAATGGCCTATTGAACTGCTCACATGGGACTTCAGGGAGCTTTTCAGCTTGAGCGCTCTTCTCTGTAAAAAGATAATTAAAAAAAAAACAGAAAAAAAACCTTTTTTGGAGACTGTATTTCTTCTTTGGTCTCATGTTCACCTTTCATACCTCAGTGTTGGACATATCACACCGTGTGTGTGTTTCTTGGTGCGAATTGAGAATAAAAACTGCTTGACATACAGTATACAGTAATGAGTGAGGGAAACAGACACATAATTCAGTACAATGTTTCACACTGCAGCTTCAGAAGATTTTTATTTGATATGGGAATCCAGATTATTAAATGCATTTCACAGACTAGAAGTATCCCACTAATTAAGGAGGCATTTATTTTCAAGCTTCTAGATTTTAAAGAAGTATTGCCTGAAACTATCTAAAATAAAAGGTTATTACCCAACATTAAACATTTGAGTTAAATTGTGTAATTTGTAAAAGAAATTGAGGATCTCCTTCCCAAGTTTATTAAAATGCAGAGTGCATTTTAATAAACAGATTTTGTGGTAATTGTGAGATTACCACAAAAATGTTGATTGTATTAATGAATATTATGCAATGCCTTTTGACTGACTTTTTAACAATGGAATCACTGAATAAGAAAATGATGAGAGGAGAAAGGTGGCGGAGACTGTTCTACAGCTCGTTGCGCTTCATCTTCTCTTTTCGGATCTTCTCTGGGAGAGTCTGAGTCAGGAAGACAAACTGCTTCTCCCTAAGGTGCTGGCCAGCTACCTGCTCCTTTAAATCAATTGACAAGTATTCTTCTCCTGTGCTGTACTTTGGCCAGTGGGCCAGCCCATCCCCATTAGGAGACCTTAAAAAACACACACAATCACAGTTATAAAAACAGTCTTATCTCCATGTGTGTATTATCTTGTAACAAAGGTAAATTCCTACCCTGTGCGAGCAAAGTTGCTCCAGTAGCTCATCATTTTTCTGCTAAGCTGTTCCTCCTCCTCAGTGCATGGCTCTACAATGTAGATAATCTGTTAAAACACCTTGCAGATCTCTGGTGGTCTATTAAAATAGTGATTTTTATATTTCACTTACCGGGTAATGTGACATGGGTAGTTGTAAAGCACAATCCGAAAACTGTAAAGATCTCATCTCCGTGGTCACTCCCAACAAAGCTTGGCCTTCTTGACTTCAGGATTTGTGGAGGATACTGGTACTCATACAGGTATACATCAGCACCTGCATCTATTAATTAAAGATTGGACATGAGATGTTTTGTTTATAAAAGTGTGTGGCAAGAAATATTTAACAATGGTTCCTCAAAATATTTGCATGATAAATACCTCTGTGGACAATAGCGGTCTTAATGGCAGGAATGTTAAAACTCATATCCCCTAACAGCTCGGTGAACCCGTCTCTATTTTTCACACGATCTTCACCCGTTCCAATATATTCCTCTAACACTAACTCTCTAAGAATTGCATCTTCGGGCTGGAAAAAATGAACAAAACATCTGTCAAAGAAGTTTCAACATGATGTATATTGTAACATTGTAATGTCCAGAACAGTCTGCCTTACATTAGGGAAGAAGAGGTACAGAGAGTTCATGAAATGCTCCTTATCTATCCCCTCTGTCCAGTTTGGAGGAGCAAACAACTTAGGGAAGACAATTCACATTTTAGACAACACATTAGCATGTTTTCATGGGCAATTGATAAGCTCTTCAGTCACATAAACATCAGTGCTAATTTAGCAATTGCACTTACACCAGCAAGCACCCAGCCCCCTTCATCATTATTAATGCCGGTCATGAATGGTACGGTAAGAAGTTCATGTGTACGGAACAGCTCGTCCACTGTTTTTCTCAGGAAGTGTCCATCAACATTTACAGAGATTTTCAAGGTTTGATCCTTAAGAAAAAAAATTGTAAAAGTAAAAGTTGAGATAAATACTTAAAACATCATGGAAATCTAGCAGAATATTCCTATTAAAAATAAATCCTACTAAATAAATCTATATATTATTTGCATTCAATATCTCACCTCTCCCAAAGCCTCAATAGTTTTTACGTCAACGATTCTCATGCAATCAGCGATCTTCTGTGTGCTTTCGAGGCTACAGCCAGACATATTTGCCACCATCTGAGGAGATATATGTGGGATACATCTTAACGACTTAGAAAAAAAAATGTGTTGTGCACCGAAGAATGTTTACACACACTTATAATTAACCTGTGCTACTGGTAGAGGATTATTTGAAACAAGAAGATCCATTCCAGCAGTGCCACTCTCAGCAATGGCATGATGGAAGAGGCCATCAGACAACGGTGAGAGGAGCTGTTGATTCAAGGAACAAAGAAAATGTAAGGTTCTGATGACAGAAGTAACTTTGTAGTAATTGTGATGTTGTTTTTGTTGTATTCAACTGCAGATTGATACTTACCAGTAGAGATACGCTCACTCCGCCAGCAGACTCCCCAAATATTGTAACTACATCTGGGTTTCCTCCAAAGTTGTGAATGTGCTGCTGGATCCACCTCAGAGCTTCTACCTGATCCAACATGCCAAAGTTCCCAGACATGTGCTCATCTCCAGTGCTGGAAAGGCAGATACAATTATATTGTTCACCGCCTAGTAAAAGTGACTACTTTTTCACATCAAATCCAATGTAGTGAGATATTATTTTAGTATGGTTAACCTGAGAAAGCCCAGAAATCCCAAACGGTACTGGATCAGAACTACGACCATATCCTGGTAAGCAGCCAGGGCGGAGCCATCATACATGGAAGCTGACCCCATACGAAACCCTCCACCATGAATCCAGACAATGACCTGGTAAGGTAATGAAAGCCCTTAAACTTTTCAACAAGCATTGAAGGCACATTCTTACTTAGATTCTCGATAAACCACATTAACAAAGACTTTAATATGACTAGATAATAACACAGATTGTGACATCAATCCCTTTGGGGTATGGTTTTAAAAAACCTACATTGTCACTCAGTATGGATTATTCAAAAGGAATCCTTATCCAAACCTGAATAAATTAACTGAGTATCACTCACGACATGGAGCAACTTACTGGAAGCTTGGCATCGAGAGTTCTGTTGGCAGGAGTGTAAATGTTGAGGTAAAGGCAGTCCTCTGAAATGTCTGGCAAATCCACGACCATGACACCAAGTTTTTCCAACATATCTAAGGTTAAGTTTTTATATTGAACACACCTGAAAAAGAAACAAGATTTTCAGTGAGTATTGAATATCATTTTAAAGGAAGGTATGCAACACCTGTAGCATGTGGAGGCCTTACATGGGGGGCTGCTTGGTGGCGTCTCTCACTCCTTCCCATCCCTCCACAGGCTGGGGGGCAGCCAGTCTCAGAGCAGGGCCCACAGGTGGCTTTGCAAATGGGATACCCAGGTAGGCATGGACCCCATTCTCCTGCCCCTTGACACTCAGAGTCTGACCTCTCAGGCTTCCCAGCTTTGTGTGGACTTCAGGTGCTGTGAGGATATTAGGACTGACTCAGAATCTCAATGTAATGTAATGTATCAGTGTAACTTACCAGGAGTAATAGCATGTGTTATAGCTAAGTAGCACATATATTTCCATCATGTAGGCAACATGTGTTCATTGGCTGGTTCTAGATTATGTTGGAACAAATAAATGGTAAAGTTTTAAATAATACAACAACTTTCCAATTGATTTCAGCCATGTCGAGCCCTATGGGTGACGTCACGGACACTACGTCCATTTATATACAGTCTACAGCAGGGGTGTCAAACTCAAGGCCCTGGGAACAAATCCGGCTTGTGACTTCATTTTCTGTGGCCCCACAAGAGCTTGCAAAGAATATAATATGTTTATCAACCGGATAACTCAAAACATATCCAGGATATGTTGAACTAGATTCGTAGTATATATCTACAGTCTTTAATCTTCTTTGCCATGCTGTTTGTATAACTAAATCAAACATATAACTCACTTTGGCAACAATTAGTTGAATATCATCTTATATTGCATTACATGAAGACAGCAAAAAAAAGAAATATTAATTACAGCATGAACTCTGATCCTAATTTGCTCTTTGGCAGAGATGTTTCACCTTTGGACATAGGCACGATCGTCAGTGGCTGAAAGGTCAACTCGATTGAGGCGTAAGAAAATGCAAACAGGTTGCTTCAGTCATAGACCTTTTAAAATACATTTAAAGAAAATCAACTTCTCCATTAGGCCTACGTGCTATTAGACTAGCTTGCAGCCAGATCTGCATACAAGTGTTGCCACGGACTTTATCGTGCAAAGAAATAAGTAATCTACTTCACTTACCATGTGGATCTGCAGCAACATCGAGGAATAAAACAGACGTCAGAAAGAAGAAAGTTTGTTTTGCACGGGAACGTCATGGTCTCGGCTGGTTACACACTGCTTGGTTCTGCAAACAGGAAGGACTTGCAAACTGGAAATGAAACCTCCAAAGAAGCCGTCTCAACTTTGACCAGTTGAATCCTGCACTTATTAACCTATTACGTGCATGACAAGGCGTGACTCTGTCGCTTTTATATCAAAGCAACTGGTCATTTACATCAATAAAAAGACATCGACAAGACTTTCCGGACGGTTATATTTGAGCTAGGCTTATAAACACTTACTGTCTGTATCTAAAACTGTCATTTTAACCTTGCATAAGTATAAGTACAGAAATGTTGTTTCCACTACAGTACAATATCTCACACAAGCCACAGATGGCGCTCTCACATAGCGGAGTCCATAGAATCACGAGAGGCGAAGTCCCTCCCTTTCCGGTGGACCTCCATGGGACCTTATTTCGGAAAAATTATTAATTATGATGTTTAAAAGATAATTTTGCAAGTAAAAAAAATAATGTTTTGCCGTAAAGCTGTGAAGTAAGACTTTTTTTGTGTGAAACCGCTCAATGAACTACATCTCTGGTCTCGCACAAGCCCCCAGGAAGTGCGCCGGACTCTGTGGAAAATATTAGTTGTGGCCAAACGGCGGTACTACACTTCCGTTAGGTTGCTGGGCCCGGAAACACTTTTTTCCCATTGACTTACATCGGGAAAGAGTGGTCTGTAAATCGTTGGATAATTTTGTTGAAACTAAATAAACTACCCAGTATGAACGTTTGTATAGCCCTTATTAAAAACATTCGGTCCTCAAGTTGTAAAATGTGCTAATAACGTTATTCTGAGAGTTATTTCCCTCGGCATTATGAACGCGCATCTAACCCACAGGACCGCGCCGCCCGGCACGTTCATGTTACGTGTTCAGTATGCGTTTTACCCTTTATATATACAGTCTATGGTTTTACCCATAGACTATATATGTAAGGTTTTACCTTTACCCATGGATGCACAATAAGAACGGACCCATATCGCCTTACTGCTAGCCCACGGAGCTGTAATAATGGATATATTGCACATGTTTGCTGTAATTCATCATTTGTAAAATATTATACTACATGGGCTGTATGCATGGGCGTAATTTCCACTGGGACAGGGGGGACATGTCCCCCCCACTTTTCAAAATCCCGTTTGTGTCCCCCCCCACTTTTCAAATGTGTTTATTTTTATTTTTTTAATCAAGCGGTCATCGTCACGGAGGAGCGTTGGATGAGTTTTTACTATTTTCTGACATTCAATATTATCATAATTTTTACGAAAAAAACTAAAAATAATAATTGGTCATATTATTAGTCATCAAGTGCTAAAGTCGAATACAGCATTCCTCAGCATTATCTGCTATTGATTTCTGTACTCACAGTTTGATACATTGAGATTGATGTCCTATGTAGTAGTGATCGATGAATGTTTTTCCATTTCAGCTTCTATGGAACAGGCCTGATCGCTGGGCACGGCTTCACCAGTCCGGAGCGCACCCCGGGGCTCTTCGTGCTTTTCGATGCAGACCGATTTGGTTTCATCTGGTTGGAGTTGAAGTCTTTCAGTCTGTACAGTCGCCTGACGGACAACCTAGCTCATTCTTACGCCCCGAACATGGAGCGATTTGAGGCCATGCTGGGCAACATGCAGTCCTGGACATCCTGATGCACGATGTTTTTAGTCTCGCTCCACAATACAATGCATAATAACAACCAGTTGACACAAATCACCTCTGTCCTCAGCTGACAGAACATCATATCACGATAGCTCATGACCTTAACTCACGTTCTATCTATATGTTTCACAAACATGGGTCTAATCAAGCTAGTTATGTCACCTCATTTATTGTATCAGTTCACCTCAGTATGACCTTTATCCTCCAGTGCACAGGTCAAATATTAACCTTATTAATTTATTCCCTGCAGGAGAAAAATGATAACTCGTACCACTTATAAAGGATCAAACTGTACGTGCCTCTGATTCTAAAACCATGTCTGTACTTGATAGTGCTTGAAGACAATAAAGGTGTCCAATGTATTCTACTATATAGCATTATAGTGATTTCAGTGCCCAACATGTTTAACTGCATGTTGCTTTTTGTTTGGATCTTATCGCATCTCACTCATAACTTTAATCTTAACAAGATGTTTTATTTTCATTGAGCAGCATGCCTTGATTTAAATTTTGTTTTGCTTTAAAAAAATGACAGCTTCTCAGGTGTTGTTCTCTTGGCCAGAAGTCAGTGAAAAGCAGGACTTGAGTATTTATGTGTATAATTTTTTTTAATGTAGTTACATTCATTTTAGCATTTTCTCCAATAGAAATACTTTTCTAACAATTGACAAGAGAGCATTTGTCGTCTCATCAAACACTGTAGCTACATCAGGCAGTTTTGCCCTTTGAACTTGAGATAGAGACGTGCTCCTGCTTTTGGTTTGACATCAAACATACCTTTAGTGTCACCTCACTTGACATAGTATTATGTAAGTTGGAAAGATGTATTGTACTGCAATAGAATAACATAACCTATACATAAGCTGATCACAAATGAAACAATTATACAGTTTTGTGCTTATATAAGGATGGTTTAAATCTTCTCTATACCTTTTAAAATGTATTGCATTTGTTGTTTGTTTAAATGGCTGACGTAACGTTTGCCTGGCTTTATACCTGCAAAGCTATTCCTCCAGTTTTCCAATTCGTTTTGAACTTGATTCCAGACTAACTGAACATTATACAAACAGCTCAAAGTGCATCTCAAAGAACCAAGTAAGTGTTTGTGTGTCTCGTTACGGCCTGAAGGTGTTGCCCAGTAGCTTTCTTACCCCAAGTGCACTTTTCTGGGCAGTATTGCGAAACATTTAAAACCACTGGCCAGCACTTTTATATCAGACTGCAGCTTTACTAACATTTGCGAAAAGAAATGGTCTGCTAAAGCATCGTCAACTTACATTTATTTAGTTTTATTAGTTTCCTCTCAATTGTTTTGCTATGTCTGAACACCCTCTGTACTCTGCTATTTGAATATTTGCCTTTGGAAAATGTGTTGCTTTGTACTATTTTCAATGCGATACACCTGATTTTGTCAAAAATGAATGGCCTATTGAACTGCTCACATGGGACTTCAGGGAGCTTTTCAGCTTGAGCGCTCTTCTCTGTAAAAAGATAATTAAAAAAAAAACTGAAAAAAAACCTTTTTTGTAGACTGTATTTCTTCTTTGGTCTCATGTTCACCTTTCATACCTCAGTGTTGGACATATCACACCGTGTGTGTGTTTCTTGGTGCGAATTGAGAATAAAAACTGCTTGACATACAGTATACAGTAATGAGTGAGGGAAACAGACACATAATTCAGTACAATGTTTCACACTGCAGCTTCAGAAGATTTTTTATTTGATATGGGAATCCAGATTATTAAATGCATTTCACAGACTAGAAGTAACCCACTAATTAAGGAGGCATTTATTTTCAAGCTTCTAGATTTAAAGAAGTATTGCCTGAAACTATCTAAAATAAAAGGTTATTACCCAACATTAAACATTTGAGTTAAATTGTGTAATTTGTAAAAGAAATTGAGGATCTCCTTCCCAAGTTTATTAAAATGCAGAGTGCATTTTAATAAACAGATGTTGTGGTAATCTGTGAGAAAGCCACAGATTACCACAAAAATGTTGATTGTATTAATGAATATTCAGGGTTCTTACACCTTTTCCAAAGTCAAATTCAAGCACTTTTCAAGCATTTTCAAGGTGCATTTTCAAGCTTTTCAAGCATCTTATAGCTGTTGTAAATTACATATTTATATACACATACTTATACTCAAATGATTATTTCCCTACCTCACATTAAATCAGATGTTCTTTATGCTATAAACAACCAAATGTGTGTTTCATAATAGCATTCTACATGAGGATGAAAAATTAAAAATGTTAGAAAAGAAAACTAAGTTTAATATTTCAAAATGAGTGACCCATCTGTACGTAGACTGGGCATCCCATATAACCTGGCTGAGCCAATATAAAACAATCAGCCAAATAACTTTTCAATATATTATTGATTACTATTTTTGAGGTACTTTTAGGTTGGCAGTAAACACAAGTCAGAGGTAAATGGTGTACTTTGACTCCACTACATGTATTTAATACCTTTAGTTACTTTACAGATGTGGATGAATGATGTGAAATATAATCAAGTGTTAAATCAGACTTTAGTTCCACCTGGAGTAAATTCACAAGCTACCTCTGTAGTATACAAAGTCATTCAAATTAGCTGCAACTTTACCAGCTTTGATAACACTTTCATGATCAATCATTATAAAACATATCATATACAATTATTAGGGATGCTCCGATCGCCAATTTTGGAGCCGATCGCCAGGAATCAGTATCGGCCGATACCGATATCGCTCTCTTTTCCTCTCTCCCCCTCTCTCTCTCTCCTGACAGCCCGTCAGTATCTCATGCAGCTCACTGATCCAGTAATGAGCGACCCGACAGTGAAGAATACATATATTTATAACTAGTTTAGCTTGTTCCAGAGGTAGATCAAATAGCTAAGTGTGTTAGGTCTAACTCTTAATGTGTGTTCTGCTCCGCTCACCGGTCCGTCACAGCGGGTGGAGCTGCAGGATTTCTGCTTCACACACACGTTGCATACCGCTATTTTATTGTCATTTTCGGACACTTAAATACTGCCAGACTAGTGAAGCCATTTTGGCGAGCTTGTTTTGCCGCGCACAGAGAAAAGTGTCATGTATTTTACATACAACGATAGCCTAATCTAAAATGCTCTACTATGGCGTACCTGACTTTTTAACAATGGAATCACTGAATAAAAAAATGATGAGAGGAGAAAGGTGGCGGAGACTGTTCTACAGCTCGTTGCGCTTCATCTTCTCTTTTCGGATCTTCTCTGGGAGAGTCTGAGTCAGGAAGACAAACTTCTTCTCCCTAAGGTGCTGGCCAGCTACCTGCTCCTTTAAATCAATTGACAAGTATTCTTCTCCTGTGCTGTACTTTGGCCAGTGGGCCAGCCCATCCCCATTAGGAGACCTTAAAAAACACACACAATCACAGTTATAAAAACAGTCTTATCTCCATGTGTGTATTATCTTGTAACAAAGGTAAATTCCTACCCTGTGCGAGCAAAGTTGCTCCAGTAGCTCATCATTTTTCTGCTAAGCTGTTCCTCCTCCTCAGTGCATGGCTCTACAATGTAGATAATCTGTTAAAACACCTTGCAGATCTCTGGTGGTCTATTAAAATAGTGATTTTTATATTTCACTTACCGGGTAATGTGACATGGGTAGTTGTAAAGCACAATCCGAAAACTGTAAAGATCTCATCTCCGTGGTCACTCCCAACAAAGCTTGGCCTTCTTGACTTCAGGATTTGTGGAGGATACTGGTACTCATACAGGTATACATCAGCACCTGCATCTATTAATTAAAGATTGGACATGAGATGTTTTGTTTATAAAAGTGTGTGGCAAGAAATATTTAACAATGGTTCCTCAAAATATTTGCATGATAAATACCTCTGTGGACAATAGCGGTCTTAATGGCAGGAATGTTAAAAATCATATCCCCTAACAGCTCGGTGAACCCGTCTCTATTTTTCACACGATCTTCACCCGTTCCAATATATTCCTCTAACACTAACTCTCTAAGAATTGCATCTTCGGGCTGGAAAAAATGAACAAAACATCTGTCAAAGAAGTTTCAACATGATGTATATTGTAACATTGTAATGTCCAGAACAGTCTGTCTTACATTAGGGAAGAAGAGGTACAGAGAGTTCATCAAATGCTCCTTATCTATCCCCTCTGTCCAGTTTGGAGGAGCAAAAAACTTAGGGAAGACAATTCACATTTTAGACAACACATTAGCATGTTTTCATGGGCAATTGTTAAGCTCTTCAGTCACATAAACATCAGTGCTAATTTAGCAATTGCACTTACACCAGCAATCATCCAGCCCCCTTCATCATTATTAATGCCGGTCAAGAATGGTACGGTAAGAAGTTCATGTGTACGGAACAGCTCGTCCACTGTTTTTCTCAGGAAGTGTCCATCAACATTTACAGAGATTTTCAAGGTTAGATCCTTAAGAAAAAAAATTGTAAAAGTAAAAGTTGAGATAAATACTTAAAACATCATGGAAATCTAGCAGAATATTCCTATTAAAAATAAATCCTACTAAATAAATCTATATATTATTTGCATTCAATATCTCACCTCTCCCAAAGCCTCAATAGTTTTTACGTCAATGATTCTCATGCAATCAGCGATCTTCTGTGTGCTTTCGAGGCTACAGCCAGACATATTTGCCACCATCTGAGGAGATATATGTGGGATACATCTTAACGACTTAGAAAAAAAATGTGTTGTGCACTGAAGAATGTTTACACACACTTATAATTAACCTGTGCTACTGGTAGAGGATTATTTGAAACAAGAAGATCCATTCCAGCAGTGCCACTCTCAGCAATGGCATGATGGAAGAGGCCATCAGACAACGGTGAGAGGAGCTGTTGATTCAAGGAACAAAGAAAATGTAAGGTTCTGATGACAGAAGTAACTTTGTAGTGATTGTGATGTCGTTTTTGTTGCATTCAACTGCAGATTGATACTTACCAGTAGAGATACGCTCACTCCGCCAGCAGACTCCCCAAATATTGTAACTACATCTGGGTTTCCTCCAAAGTTGTGAATGTGCTGCTGGATCCACCTCAGAGCTTCTACCTGATCCAACATGCCAAAGTTCCCAGACATGTGCTCATCTCCAGTGCTAGAAAGGTAGATACAATTATATTGTTAACCGCCTAGTAAAAGTGACTACTTTTTCACATCAAATCCAATGTAGTGAGATATTATTTTAGTATGGTAATTCTAACTCTTCTTAGTGATTTGAGTGGTTTTAACCTGAGAAAGCCCAGAAGTCCCAAACGGTACTGGATCAGAACTACGACCATATCCTGGTAAGCAGCCAGGGCGGAGCCATCATACGTGGAAGCTGACCCCATACCAAACCCTCCACCATGAATCCAGACCATGACCTGGTAAGGTAATGAAAGCCCTTAAAACTTTTCAACAAGCATTGAAGGCACATTCTTACTTAGATTCTCGATAAACCACATTAACAAAGACTTTAATATGACTAGATAATAACACAGATTGTGACATCAATCCCTTTGGGGTATGGTTTTAAAAAACCTACATTGTCACTCAGTATGGATTATTCAAAAGGAATCCTTATCCAAACCTGAATAAATTAACTGAGTATCACTCACGACATGGAGCAACTTACTGGAAGCTTGGCATCGGGAGTTCTGTTGGCAGGAGTGTAAATGTTGAGGTAAAGGCAGTCCTCTGAAATGTCTGGCAAATCCACGACCATGGCACCAAGTTTTTCCAACAGATCTATGGTTAACTTTTTATATTGAACACACCTGAAAAAGAAACAAGATTTTCAGTGAGTATTGAATATCATTTTAAAGGAAGGTATGCAACACCTGTAGCATGTGGAGGCCTTACATGGGGGGCTGCTTGGTGGCGTCTCTCACTCCTTCCCATCCCTCCACAGGCTGGGGGGCAGCCAGTCTCAGAGCAGGGCCCACAGGTGGCTTTGCAAATGGGATACCCAGGTAGGCATGGACCCCATTCTCCTGCCCCTTGACACTCAGAGTCTGACCTCTCAGGCTTCCCAGCTTTGTGTGGACTTCAGGTGCTGTGAGGATATTAGGACTGACTCAGAATCTCAATGTAATGTAATGTATCAGTGTAACTTACCAGGAGTAATAGCATGTGTTATAGCTAAGTAGCACATATATTTCCATCATGTAGGCAACATGTGTTCATTGGCTGGTTCTAGATTATGTTGGAACAAATAAATGGTAAAGTTTTAAATAATACAACAACTTTCCAATTGATTTCAGCCATGTCGAGCCCTATGGGTGACGTCACGGACACTACGTCCATTTATATACAGTCTACAGCAGGGGTGTCAAACTCAAGGCCCTGGGAACAAATCCGGCTTGTGACTTCATTTTCTGTGGCCCCACAAGAGCTTGCAAAGAATATAATATGTTTATCAACCGGATAACTCAAAACATATCCAGGATATGTTGAACTAGATTCGTAGTATATATCTACAGTCTTTAATCTTCTTTGCCATGCTGTTTGTATAACTAAATCAAACATATAACTCACTTTGGCAACAATTAGTTGAATATCATCTTATATTGCATTACATGAAGACAGCAAAAAAAAGAAATATTAATTACAGCATGAACTCTGATCCTAATTTGCTCTTTGGCAGAGATGTTTCAACTTTGGACATAGGCACGATCGTCAGTGGCTGAAAGGTCAACTCGATTGAGGCGTAAGAAAATGCAAACAGGTTGCTTCAGTCATAGACCTTTTAAAAGACATTTAAAGAAAATCAACTTCTCCATTAGGCCTACGTGCTATTAGACTAGCTTGCAGCCAGATCTGCATACAAGTGTTGCCACGGACTTTATCGTGCAAAGAAATAAGTAATCTACTTCACTTACCATGTGGATCTGCAGCAACATCGAGGAATAAAACAGACGTCAGAAAGAAGAAAGTTTGTTTTGCACGGGACGTCATGGTCTCGGCTGGTTACACACTGCTTGGTTCTGCAAACAGGAAGGACTTGCAAACTGGAAATGAAACCTCCAAAGAAGCCGTCTCAACTTTGACCAGTTGAATCCTGCACTTATTAACCTATTACGTGCATGACAAGGCGTGACTCTGTCGCTTTTATATCAAAGCAACTGGTCATTTACATCAATAAAAAGACATCGACAAGACTTTCCGGACGGTTATATTTGAGCTAGGCTTATAAACACTTACTGTCTGTATCTAAAACTGTCATTTTAACCTTGCATAAGTATAAGTACAGAAATGTTGTTTCCACTACAGTACAATATCTCACACAAGCCACAGATGGCGCTCTCACATAGCTGAGTCCATAGAATCACGAGAGGCGAAGTCCCTCCCTTTCCGGTGGACCTCCATGGGACCTTATTTCGGAAAAATTATTAATTATGATGTTTAAAAGATAATTTTGCAAGTAAAAAAAATAATGTTTTGCCGTAAAGCTGTGAAGTAAGACTTTTTTTGTGTGAAACCGCTCAATGAACTACATCTCTGGTCTCGCACAAGCCCCCAGGAAGTGCGCCGGACTCTGTGGAAAATATTAGTTGTGGCCAAACGGCGGTACTACACTTCCGTTAGGTTGCTGGGCCCGGAAACACTTTTTTCCCATTGACTTACATCGGGAAAGAGTGGTCTGTAAATCGTTGGATAATTTTGTTGAAACTAAATAAACTACCCAGTATGAACGTTTGTATAGCCCTTATTAAAAACATTCGGTCCTCAAGTTGTAAAATGTGCTAATAACGTTATTCTGAGAGTTATTTCCCTCGGCATTATGAACGCGCATCTAACCCACAGGACCGCGCCGCCCGGCACGTTCATGTTACGTGTTCAGTATGCGTTTTACCCTTTATATATACAGTCTATGGTTTTACCCATAGACTATATATGTAAAGGTTTTACCTTTACCCATGGATGCACAATAAGAACGGACCCATATCGCCTTACTGCTAGCCCACGGAGCTGTAATAATGGATATATTGCACATGTTTGCTGTAATTCATCATTTGTAAAATATTATACTACATGGGCTGTATGCATGGGCGTAATTTCCACTGGGGACAGGGGGGACATGTCCCCCCCACTTTTCAAAATCCCGTTTGTGTCCCCCCCCACTTTTCAAATGTGTTTATTTTTATTTTTTTAATCAAGCGGTCATCGTCACGGAGGAGCGTTGGATGAGTTTTTACTATTTTCTGACATTCAATATTATCATAATTTTTTACAAAAAAACTAAAAATAATAATTTGTCATATTATTAGTCATCAAGTGCTAAAGTCGAATACAGCATTCCTCAGCATTATCTGCTATTGATTTCTGTACTCACAGTTTGATACATTGAGATTGATGTCCTATGTAGTAGTGATCGATGAATGTTTTTCCATTTCAGCTTCTATGGAACAGGCCTGATCGCTGGGCACGGCTTCACCAGTCCGGAGCGCACCCCGGGGCTCTTCGTGCTTTTCGATGCAGACCGATTTGGTTTCATCTGGTTGGAGTTGAAGTCTTTCAGTCTGTACAGTCGCCTGACGGACAACCTAGCTCATTCTTACGCCCCGAACATGGAGCGATTTGAGGCCATGCTGGGCAACATGCAGTCCTGGACATCCTGATGCACGATGTTTTTAGTCTCGCTCCACAATACAATGCATAATAACAACCAGTTGACACAAATCACCTCTGTCCTCAGCTGACAGAACATCATATCACGATAGCTCATGACCTTAACTCACGTTCTATCTATATGTTTCACAAACATGGGTCTAATCAAGCTAGTTATGTCACCTCATTTATTGTATCAGTTCACCTCAGTATGACCTTTATCCTCCAGTGCACAGGTCAAATATTAACCTTATTAATTTATTCCCTGCAGGAGAAAAATGATAACTCGTACCACTTATAAAGGATCAAACTGTACGTGCCTCTGATTCTAAAACCATGTCTGTACTTGATAGTGCTTGAAGACAATAAAGGTGTCCAATGTATTCTACTATATAGCATTATAGTGATTTCAGTGCCCAACATGTTTAACTGCATGTTGCTTTTTGTTTGGATCTTATCGCATCTCACTCATAACTTTAATCTTAACAAGATGTTTTATTTTCATTGAGCAGCATGCCTTGATTTAAATTTTGTTTTGCTTTAAAAAAAATGACAGCTTCTCAGGTGTTGTTCTCTTGGCCAGAAGTCAGTGAAAAGCAGGACTTGAGTATTTATGTGTATAATTTTTTTTTAATGTAGTTACATTCATTTTAGCATTTTCTCCAATAGAAATACTTTTCTAACAATTGACAAGAGAGCATTTGTCGTCTCATCAAACACTGTAGCTACATCAGGCAGTTTTGCCCTTTGAACTTGAGATAGAGACGTGCTCCTGCTTTTGGTTTGACATCAAACATACCTTTAGTGTCACCTCACTTGACATAGTATTATGTAAGTTGGAAAGATGTATTGTACTGCAATAGAATAACATAACCTATACATAAGCTGATCACAAATGAAACAATTATACAGTTTTGTGCTTATATAAGGATGGTTTAAATCTTCTCTATACCTTTTAAAATGTATTGCATTTGTTGTTTGTTTAAATGGCTGACGTAACGTTTGCCTGGCTTTATACCTGCAAAGCTATTCCTCCAGTTTTCCAATTCGTTTTGAACTTGATTCCAGACTAACTGAACATTATACAAACAGCTCAAAGTGCATCTCAAAGAACCAAGTAAGTGTTTGTGTGTCTCGTTACGGCCTGAAGGTGTTGCCCAGTAGCTTTCTTACCCCAAGTGCACTTTTCTGGGCAGTATTGCGAAACATTTAAAACCACTGGCCAGCACTTTTATATCAGACTGCAGCTTTACTAACATTTGCGAAAAGAAATGGTCTGCTAAAGCATCGTCAACTTACATTTATTTAGTTTTATTAGTTTCCTCTCAATTGTTTTGCTATGTCTGAACACCCTCTGTACTCTGCTATTTGAATGATTTGCCTTTGGAAAATGTGTTGCTTTGTACTATTTTCAATGCGATACACCTGATTTTGTCAAAAATGAATGGCCTATTGAACTGCTCACATGGGACTTCAGGGAGCTTTTCAGCTTGAGCGCTCTTCTCTGTAAAAAGATAATAAAAAAAACAGAAAAAAAAACTTTTTTGGAGACTGTATTTCTTCTTTGGTCTCATGTTCACCTTTCATACCTCAGTGTTGGACATATCACACCGTGTGTGTGTTTCTTGGTGCGAATTGAGAATAAAAACTGCTTGACATACAGTATACAGTAATGATATCATTCCAATAACTTGTATATTGACTCGTACTGCACTATTCCACATCATAACTTTATTTCATTTTTATAACTATTATTATTTTTGTATTGCTCTTGCTCTTATTGTTATTATGTTATGTTATTATGTTGCATTGTTGGAGAAGCCTGTGACATAAGATTTTCAACTGCATAATTACTCTGTAGCTATGTCAGATTGACAATAAAGAACCTTGAACCTTGAACCTTGAGTGAGGGAAACAGACACATAATTCAGTACAATGTTTCACACTGCAGCTTCAGAAGATTTTTATTTGATATGGGAATCCAGATTATTAAATGCATTTCACAGACTAGAAGTATCCCACTAATTAAGGAGGCATTTATTTTCAAGCTTCTAGATTTTAAAGAAGTATTGCCTGAAACTATCTAAAATAAAAGGTTATTACCCAACATTAAACATTTGAGTTAAATTGTGTAATTTGTAAAAGAAATTGAGGATCTCCTTCCCAACAGATGTTGTGGTAATCTGTGAGAAAGCCACAGATTACCACAACAATGTTGATTGTATTAATGAATATTCAGGGTTCTTACACCTTTTCCAAAGTCAAATTCAAGCACTTTTCAAGCATTTTCAAGGTGCATTTTCAAGCTTTTCAAGCATCTTACAGCTGTTGTAAATTACATATTTATATACACATACTTATACTCAAATGATTATTTCCCTACCTCACATTAAATCAGATGTTCTTTATGCTATAAACAACCAAATGTGTGTTTCATAATAGCATTCTACATGAGGATGAAAAATTAAAAATGTTAGAAAAGAAAACTAAGTTTAATATTTCAAAATGAGTGACCCATCTGTACGTAGACTGGGCATCCCATATAACCTGGCTGAGCCAATATAAAACAATCAGCCAAATAACTTTTCAATATATTATTGATTACTATTTTTGAGGTACTTTTAGGTTGGCAGTAAACACAAGTCAGAGGTAAATGGTGTACTTTGACTCCACTACATGTATTTAATACCTTTAGTTACTTTACAGATGTGGATGAATGATGTGAAATATAATCAAGTGTTAAATCAGACTTTAGTTCCACCTGGAGTAAATTCACAAGCTACTCTGTAGTATACAAAGTCATTCAAATTAGCTGCAACTTTACCAGCTTTGATAACACTTTCATGATCAATCATTATAAAACATATCATATACAATTATTAGGGATGCTCCGATCGCCAATTTTGGAGCCGATCGCCGGAATCAGTATCGGCCGATACCGATATCGCTCTCTTTTCCTCTCTCCCCCTCTCTCTCTCTCCTGACAGCCCGTCAGTATCTCCTGCAGCTCACTGATCCAGTAATGAGCGACCCGACAGTGAAGAATACATATATTTATAACTAGTTTAGCTTGTTCCAGAGGTAGATCAAATAGCTAAGTGTGTTAGGTCTAACTCTTAATGTGTGTTCTGCTCCGCTCACCGGTCCGTCACAGCGGGTGGAGCTGCAGGATTTCTGCTTCACACACACGTTGCATACCGCTATTTTATTGTCATTTTCGGACACTTAAAATACTGCCAGACTAGTGAAGCCATTTTGGCGAGCTTGTTTTGCCGCGCACAGAGAAAAGTGTCATGTATTTTACATGCAACGATAGCCTAATCTAAAATGCTCTACTATGGCGTACCTGACTTTTTAACAATGGAATCACTGAATAAAAAAATGATGAGAGGAGAAAGGTGGCGGAGACTGTTCTACAGCTCGTTGCGCTTCATCTTCTCTTTTCGGATCTTCTCTGGGAGAGTCTGAGTCAGGAAGACAAACTTCTTCTCCCTAAGGTGCTGGCCAGCTACCTGCTCCTTTAAATCAATTGACAAGTATTCTTCTCCTGTGCTGTACTTTGGCCAGTGGGCCAGCCCATCCCCATTAGGAGACCTTAAAAAACACACACAATCACAGTTATAAAAACAGTCTTATCTCCATGTGTGTATTATCTTGTAACAAAAGTAAATTCCTAC